TTAAACTAAAAAATTAACGGTTTTTCAGATAAGACAGATTTTACGGTAACACCTCGAATCAGATTTCGCAAAAGAAATATTTTATTTATTTTTGATTTAGAAAATTTGCGAAAAGCGCACTCTGAAATTCATTAAATAGCGGGGTGTTACAAATGGTATCAGAGCACGTTTCTGCATCTCTGAAATATTTTCACGAGTCAGAAATTTTACGAAAACCTGAACACGTCACGCTCACGCCTCGCCGACTACAGGTAAGTGCTGATTTTTGTTTTTTTAAAATTTTAAACATATTACTATGTCTACGCTCAGAAATTTCTCAGTTATGAATTAGTTAAGATGCTCGAATCATGTTCAGGATCAATATTCAGGATACCCATGATTTAATGCTAGTATTCCTCAGTCATGTTTAGCAACTCGTCAAGAAATTTGTGTGCTTTACTGATCAGCTTCCAAATGTTATCAGTAAAGATGTTCGGATCAGAATTCAGAACTTTAGAAAGGGGCTCAGTTGAAAACTCTAGATTCAATTCTAGATATATTTAAGTTAAGTTAGCAACTTGTCAGGAGATTTGTAAACACTTGTGTTATACAAATCTTAGTGATCATGTTCCTCAGACATTTTCTATCGGAAATTTGTTCATTTTGCCAACCAGTTGGCACATTCCAAGAAAGAATTCCTTGAGTTAGATCAGGGAATAAGCCCAATTTTCCTAAGTCAGATCAGTAAATCATGTTCAAGGCCAAATTTTCATGCTAAAGGTTGTTATATTTTCCAAGCCATTATAAAAAATAACGGTTTCCAGTGTATAGGAGTCAATATTCCGGGTTACCATGGAGGCTTGAAATAAGAGCCACTCAGCCGGGTATACCATGGAGACTTGAAGCTGGAACCGAAACAGTATGAGTTCATGTAATAACATCCTTTCAAGTCAGTCATGTTATGGATTTCACCAATCATGATATTCCAAGTTATGGTTTTCAAAAAACAAGATCACTTATTCCTTTTGTGCTTGCGGGACCAGTTGTTACTGGAGCAACCCTATACAGTATATAGTTATGAGTCAATGTTCACGATTCAAAGACAATGTTCATGTATTAAGGTCTACGTATAATATTTGTCAAGCCGGGTTAAAGAAGGAGGACTGATATATAAGTCAGTAATCCAAATTGACCTGGAAACTTGAAGTCGTACCTTGTTAAGCCACAGTAAGTTAGTAAATGTCATGTTCCAAATTCCGAGATGACTATTTTAGTTGTCTCGGGATAGCTTTCAGAGTTCAAGATAAGGTGATTCAGCCATGTAAAATTCAAGTCAGGGTTATTCAATTATGTCATCGTTGAAGATAGTCATGTCATTATTGAGGATAGTCTGTCTAATAAGACAAGACTTATCTGCCATTTCAAATATGTCCAGTGCCTCGATTCTCAAATTCAGAAAATTTGAGAAATCGCAGGAAAGATTAATTCATTATAAGACTTTTCTTGAGGTTAAATTTGACCTCAAGGAAGAAAAGCAGTTGCAGGTATCACATGTTGTCATACAACGCGACGAAGAAGGGCCAATCAACAACAGATCATGCCATGATGACAAACTGAAGCTTTTCATTCAAAGACGCATAACGCAAGAAAAGAAGGATGCTATGCCTGAGTTACAGTACACAGGAGATTACAGAGAGTTAGCATTATAGTACATTGAGGTTACTAGCTTAAGATACAAATACGATCAGTTATATAAACTACGTCGACGACGCATGTGCAATGTTCGCTAGGTGCTGTATGCAGGTGTGCCGCACTCATTTGATGAGGAGCAGGTGTGCCGCAATACAATGTGCCGCGAACGGTGTGCCGCGTTATCGAGCAGACATTCATGAAAGGTAACTACCGAGATTGCTAGTTGACCTCATTTGTACATATGCGTATCTCTGAAATTTTCCGTGTGTACCAATGACTTGGGTTCCACAACTAACGTTCAGACCGAACATCAACAATCAGCCAGGAGATAATGACCAGTACGCTCAAGAAGTAATCATATATAATCAGTGGAACAATTTATTTCAGGAAAGTGTCCATTCTCAATCAGCAGTATCTAACAATTCACTTAATTGTGAAATGATGTCTCCTCAGTTCAGATCTAGTCTATTAAAGTACTGAATTCTCAAGCCATGTAATCAGTAAGTATAAGCTTTATGTTAAGCTTGTACGTCCAGTATTAGTATTTCCGAGGACGGAAATATTTTAAGGAGGGTGGATTGTAACACCCCGAGTTTTATTAATAAAGGAAAATACTAGCTTTTAATGTTAAGCTAGCCTTTGTTAATGAATAATCATGTTCATGTTCAAGTTCAGGTTAATCAGCTAGTTATATTCCAAGTTCGACTATTAGTCGATATATTATTCGGTTTAATTATTTCAGTAACCGGATAAGTTTCCAGATTTAATTTCGATTCGTTTCTTTTATTAATGAGTTCGGAATTAATAAGTTAAGTTGACGAATTATTCGAAATATCAATATTTGGATTAATCGTCCAAGTCAGGAATATCAGAAATTATTTTCGAAGTCACGTTTACGTTCGGAATAATTTCGATAATTAAGTGTCATGCTTAGTTAATTAATTAAGCATATAGATGGTGATTAATTACTAATTAGTCATGCTTAGAAATATAATTGCCGTGGGCAATTAAAGCAATTTTGTTCCAAAATTTTAAGAAATGTCGTGAGCATTTGAACATTGAACAAAGGAGATTTGTCTCCATTTTTATTAAGTATGAGGTGTCATTTTACTAGACATTAGGAGATGACTAAGCCATATTAGGGATGACTAAGCTAGGATGTTGTGCAATTAAACCTTAGGGCACGACATTTGGAAGCTAGTCATTGGCCAAATATTATTTTCCCACCTCTTCATGCTACTTTCGGTCATCATATTTAAGGGAGGAGTTGGGATAAAATTTTCCTCATGTTCAGCCTATATATTCATCCATAAGTTAAGTTAGTAGTAAGGAGAGTTGAGGGATTTTAGAATAAGCTACATGGAGAAGCTCACGTACACGCACGGAGGCACCGCAATCGAGTTATCTCGAGCGTCGTTCGCGATCAGCCCAGCGTTCAAGGAGGTAACTTCGTTTTTATCATATTTCCAAGCTAATATGATCAATTTAGGTGTAGCATGTTCAGCTCATAACCTTCGGTTTATGGAAAGTTAAGTTAAGTTCGGTTTTGTGCCTCTTAAGCCGTGATCAAGTTATGTTCGGAATTATTCCGAGACCCTCGAGAAATTTTCATGTATTTGGTTGTTATATGTTGTTTTATGTTCAGTCAAGTCGAGTTACTCGAGGGAAGTCATTATTTTGTCGAGGGATTGGCCACGGGCGGCGCACGTAGCGCACGCCACGGGCCATCTCATGCCATGTCATGTTAACTTTTATTGTTGTCAAGTTTGTTCGAGCAGCTCATGGATAATTGATCATTTTAAGTCATTTTATAGTCAGTTAAGTCAAGTTGATCGGAGAAATTTCACGTTCGGTCAAGAAGCGGCTTAACGTCGTAGGCGGCTGATACGGAAGTGGGTTTCGGACCCCGATGACGAGAAGGTCCCAGAGCCAAGACAACCCAAAGAGGCCAGAAAAAGGGCCAAAACGATGCATGCATGGCCTAAAAGACGGGTACGAGCTCGTATGCGAGGTGCACGAGCACGTAAGGAACGACAAGGGTCAACTACACGGGGGTCGAACATGAGAGGGTCGAAGTGTTGGGTTCTATTAGGAACGTCGACAATGTGCACATTCAAATCTATTGAATAATAAATCCTAACGCAGCGGAATCTATAGTTAGGATTAGGACTTACGGTTTAAAATTTTTTGCCGACTCTGAGATGTTTCTGATTTCCGTTGATGGAGATCGTCTGAACACCAAAGTCTAATGGGCGGCTAGACTTGGCCTTTCTAGATTCTAATAGAGTCACCATGGTGCTCCAATTGCTCATCAAGCTCATCGGATCGTCTCGGACCTTCGGTAAGTGAATCGGACTCATCCGACCACTCGGGAACCTCCTTGGACACGAACCGGAGCTGCTGGACCTGCTAGACTGCTCCTGGACCGGCTGGTCGCAATCTGGAGTGGTCTGGACCGCCTGGAGACGCGCTGGGCTCGAGCTG